GAAACACGCCACTAGGGAGTCTAATCATCTTCTTGAATCTTGATAAAGCGTTTGTCCAACTTCCAAGAATAGGGAGGGGCTATTTTTAATTTTATATAAATGTCAATTCAATTTTACTTTTTTATGTAGTAATATTTTAGGGTGCATAAATAAAGGGCTATTTTGTATTTTTGTTTACCGATTTTCACTAATTATTTTCCAAGTTGGAGATAGTTTGACATTTCATGTGAATTTATTGGACTTTAAGATAATTGAGTTAATTTGGTTAGAGGGCTCTATTTGATGGGATGTGCAAGTACTTTTAGATTCACTCTTCTGCATTGTTTCTTGTAATTATTTTTCTACTCAAAATGAGTTATATACACGAAGAGTCCGTTTGATTGTAAAAGTGAAATTTGGATGGAAAGAAAGCGAATTGAAGGGAAATAAATTGCCGAAGATTGTTTTAGTGGGAATTGTCAAGTAATAGTATTTGATTGATATAATTTTTCAACTGAAAAATGTTAAAATAAAAGTGTCTTTTGATGTTCGTTTGACTTTATTTTTTATGAAAATTATCAATTTAAGGGATATCCATTTCTACAATTGTTCCTAAAATTTGTTTCTATTGCAAAAAAAAAAAACGAAAAAAATCCAAAAATCATCTATATTTTGGTATTCGTTTGACTTTGTTTTACATGAAAATTATCGATTTAAGGGATATACTTTTGCTATCAAACACAAAAAAAATTGGTGAAAAATGGATGAAAATTGTACCAATCAAACATTGCCTAATAAAATTAAGATGAGTCTAAGACAATTTACAAAAAAGTATATAGTATGTATTTACTTTTAGATTCAATCTCGTGATCGTGGTAATACTAGTTGTGAACTCGTATTTTATTGCACGCATATTTCTCTAGTCAGAATTAGCTATTTTTACAATTTTTTTAATATATCCAACTTTAACATCACAATTTACATCTTATTGTGTATATCAATTTGTTAATAAAATTATCTTACACACCTTAGAAGACATACGTTTGCCTAAACGAAAGTACCATACCATTAATAGTCGAACCATAATACACTCGCTTATCAATTTACACCTAAAAGATAAAAGAAACACCCCAACACTCAACCACCTCAATTAGAACAAATTCTTGGTCTGGATTTCATATTTCCAACATAATTTTTGTAAGCAAATGGTAATATTGAAGCATTTTCACCTCTTAGCAGAAAAATTGTTTCTTTTTTTCTTTTTTTTATCTTCGTTTTCTCGTGATGTACATCAGAAGGATAGTGAATTATATCGTTGGTATATTGACGAAACTTTGGACCAAGTTGAATCCAGTTATACTTAGAAAGTAATCACTTTTTATTTTATTTTACCTCATTTATATTATATTATATTATATTATATTATTTATTTATTTATTTTTTTGGCTTGACTAAGTAGGATAGCGGAACCATTTCCAAACAAGTTATAATAATTATTAGTAAAATAATACATGGGAGTGGCCCAATATTATCTAGTCACTGCGTGGGACCCAAATTCATATTAACAAACAAATCAACTTTCTGTCAATCACGGCGGGAAAATATACACTAATTAATATATATTAAAATTAAAATATACACAACTAGCCACTAAGAATTCCCCTAAGACTAGCCCATGTAGAGCCAAAATCTAATTTGGATAGAGACAGAGACATAACAACTTGGGGAAGAGAGGGGTCAGTAAAGGTACTATTATCAGGTGAAGGGAATAGTACTAGAAAGATTGTGAAAAAATAAAATAAAAATAAATGAGAAATCATACCAGATTTTGAATGCTTTTTTGACACTTCTAAAAAATTTCGAGAATAAATTTTACGTGTCGAAATCAAAATAGTTAGGTATTCGATGTCCGATTTAAACATGAAATAGATATATATAGATGTACGTATAGACAAACTCACAAAGAGTTAGAATTCTTGAGGTTTGATCCTGACTATTAGTCTTGGGGGCAAGACAAAGGTCGAAATATGATTTGTGCCCCATACTGTGGATAAAGAAGCATCAAAACCGTTGGAGCATGTTGATAGCTCGGGGATAGATGGAAAGAAAATCGTTGAAGTATAATAGAAAGCGTCAATTTGGTTTGTAAAATCGCTAAGTTTTGGCCAATGCATTGTCGAACTCCAAGTCCAAAGGGAATGTAGGCCATCGGATGCTTTGCCGCTCGAGCAACTCCTTGAGAGAATCTACTTGGATTGAACTCATTTACATCGTTACCCCATATAGCTTGATCATGGTGAACCGCAAGGATCGGTATTAGTAACTCCGTTCCACACGGAATTTTATAACCTCCAAGCTCCACATCCATCTTTGGTCGTCTGATCGTCGCCACAATCGGTGGATAGAGTCTAAGAGACTCGTTCAAGATCATCCCCAACTGTCCAAAATTACACTAAATTAGATAGTAGAACATATAAATTTTATCGTCCGTCCTATCATGAAAAAGAAGTAATGAATGCGATGGAGGCTTACCGTTTTGAGCTTGACAACATCATCTTTAGTGGGTAAGTCACGTGATCCGCATACCTTAAGGACCTCGTCACGTGCTAAGGCCTGCCATTCCGGGTGCATAGCTAGCAAAACAGTCGTCCACGTCAGCAAATTTGATGTTGTCTGTTCACCAGCAAAGAAAAAGGTCTTGCATTCTTCAGCAATGTCATTGACAGTAATTCTTGAATTCAAATTCAATTCTTCACTCTTCAAACTTGCTTGAATCATAACTCCCAACAAATCTTTGGGCCCATTCTCTACAATTTCATTCCTCCAATTCTTTGTCCTTCGATCAATCACTCTCATTAGGGACTTATTAATTTCCTTTTCCAATTTCCAAGACTTTATATTCCGTCTCGAGGGTAGAAACCTAAAGAAAATACGAAAAAATAAGTTAAAATCTTATCCATCGTACTCTTCATAACTATTCAAGCACTAATGGACGATATGTACATATAACCCGGGATGAAAACTTTGTGAAATGCTTCGGATGCAAGGGCCATTTGTTGGGCTTGTAATCTGAAAATGGCTTTTCCTTCTTCATAGCTACTTCCAAAAGCGGTCCGAGCGACGATATCTTCTGTTAATAACCGGAACCACTCCGATACTTCAATTTCGACTTCATCGGAATTTTTTAACATATCAAACCATTTGTCTAACATTTTAGTCACACTTCTTGATGCCACTGGTATTAACAACTGAAAAGAGAGAATATATATATCATCGAAAGTTTAAATTAAAATCTTGTTTACAATACTGCCAAGTCGAGTCGAGTCAATTCAAACTTACTTTAAGATTTTCCATGTGGAAGGTAGGGGTGATGATTTTCCTATGGTGAGCCCATTTCTCTCCTTTGAGGCTAAGGAGTCCATCGCCTTCGAGCTGTTTAGTCAATGCATTAGCCTCGTTCTTCTCGTAGAATTCCGACTTATAAGTGAAAATTTCTCGAATCAAGTCGGGATCAGCCACGGTGAGACGAACGGTTGGCCCGAACCACACAAGAAACGTCGCCCCTGAATTGAAGAAACAGTTCAATGTGCTTCAGTAAAAAGATTTTTCACATGAAAAAGAAATAAAGACAACCACTAAAATTCAGAAGAAGAAAATTGGATAGTTTAGACCCTATAGGAAGAAGACAATTCAGAACTAGCCCACACTACCAAAGCATATATAAAAAATACAGAAAGTTAATGAAAACTCCATTTCCTTCAAAGAACCCAGAAAACAGGACCAGACGATCGCGTTCTTTTTCTTTTTGACAATGTCTAACGTTGTCCAATTCTATGTCCGGAACATGGATCACAAAGGATTGATCAGTCGTAAGATTAGATTAAGAAGGAAAGGAGAATATACCATAGATTTTCTTCCAGTGGTGATAGAAGGAGAGAACTCTGGGCAGTATATTATGAGAAAAAGGCATAGGTTGAGAAGAAGCCTTCGACATTAAACTAACAAGTTCTTTAGCATTTCCCACAAAGAGGCGATAAGGGGGACCTCTAATCCCTTGTAAAGAGAAATGCTCTTCAATTTTTCTGGGTCTCCACCAAATCAACACAAAAAGCTTTAGAACAAACAGAAATGTTATTATGGAGAATACACAGAGCTTTAACAAGTAGGAAGAAAGATCTTCCATGGCGAAACTGTTTTTATCTTCTTTCTGTTATGTTAGAATCTGTATCTACACCTTTTTTAATGCCAATAACAAACCCTGTAACAGAGAGAGGGAGACACAGTTTTTGGAGAGAGAGAGAGAGAGGCAAGCCCACTGGCGTTGGGGCCGCCATGGGAATTTATAAGAAGGGTCAACGAATGAAATTTTTTTTGACACAATGTTACCCTTGTCTTTTATGGTTAGTATGGTTATGTCCCTGTAGAATCTATTTTGGCATTTAGCCTGAGTAGCTCCCATGTCTAAGGGCCCGTTTGGCATTCTTTTGTTTTTGCTTCCTGTTAAAAAACTTTTGAAAAAGGTTACCTTAATTTTTGTTTGAAAATTATTTTTTAAAAGAACTTCCTATTTTGAAATTGCTTTTTGAGAAAGTCACATTGAATCAATTTCCTTTAAAAGCTCCTTTAGTATAAGTATTTTCATAAAATTAGTCAAACGGGTCCAAATGCAACTTTTAAAATTCAAAAACTTCTTTTGATTTTTCGAAAGTCATATCAAACGCACTTTAACAATTTTATCACAAGCATACATTATACATGTTTAAAACAAATAAAGTCTGTTTGATTGTAGAGATGGAATTTGAATGAAAAGAAAACAAATTTCAGGGAATTGAATTGTCTAGAAATTATTTTTCTGGAAATTGTAAATTATTGTGTTTGATTGGTATAGTTTTTCACATGAAATTCGTTGAAATAAAAGTGTTTTTTTGTTCGTTTGGCTTTATTTTACATGAAAATTGTCAATTAAAGGGATAAATTTAACTGGTATTAGGTATGAAATTTGTTTCCATTGTTAAAAAATAAATAAATAAATAAATAAATAATCAAGAAAATCATTTATCTTTTGGTGTTCGTTTGACTTTATTTTACATGAAAATTGTCAATTTAAGAAATATCATCTTTTACAATCGCTCCTAAAATTTGTTTCCATTGTCAAAAATTTAAAAAAAAAAACCAAAAATAGAAAAATAGAAAATTAATTCCCACCAAAATGGTGGGAAAACCAATTCCGCCAAAACAAGGAAAAAAGGCACGTGGGAGGGAAGGAAAGAAAATCAATTGCCAGGGAATTCTTGGCAATCAAACAAGGAAAAAGTAGGAATTGAAATTAGAATTCCATTTTCCATGAAAAAAAGGGTTATCAAACATACCCTTAAAGATTTTCTTGAGATATAAAAATTACTATAATTTTTTTAAGAATGATGTGAATTTAAATACAAATCACGTGTGGAAATAAACTATACTGATCCATTGGACTTACATTATACATGTTAAGAACAAATAAAGATTTTCTTGATATATTTCCAAGATATAAAGATTACTATAATATTTTTTTATGAATGATGTGAATTTAAATACAAATCATGTGTGGAAATAAAATATACTGATTGATTGTCGATCAGAATAGGAAACC